CAGCCGGCCCTGCTCCCCCCCCCCACACCTCAGGCAGGGCAGCAGGTGCTTCAGCCAGCGGCTCCAGAGCAGGATCTGGATTCTCAGCTGAAGGTTTTGTACGAGCAGGCCTGGAGAGCGGACCAAGCAGCCGGAAGGCAGGAGCACTCTCCATCCTTTCAAGCTCTGGAAAGCAGCAACACCAGCACAAAGGTCAGAGCTCATTTCCTCAATAAACCCACGGCTCTCCCTTCAACCTTACCCCACGGTACACGTACACTTCACAGACACAGGGCAACAGCCTCATTAACACCACGTCTAGTGGGAAACAGGGCAGCTGGGAAAGCCGGGAGAAAGCGGGCAAGACAGCAGCAAGCAGCTCTATTGACCCGTCCTACCACAAAGGCCCCACACCAAACTACACAGGCTGCCCTGTGCCGGTCAGGGGATGCCGGTCAGGGGGCAGCAGCCACCAGCTGGTGGGAAGCAGCAGGATGAGCTGTAGGCCCCGCGAGCCACCACGTGCTGCCTGGTGGCCCCAGCAACACCCCTGAAGTGCTGCTGAAGCCCTGGGACAAAGAACTTGGGCTCGCTTCCACTCGCGCACAATTTTTACCTCCTGTCCTGCACGTTCCAGCACTTGTTCAGATTAGATTCCTCCCCTTCATCTTTTCACACCCCCCGCTTACTGGCACAAGAATGGGTCTAGTACTGCTTCCCCGTAAAATTTAAGGAAGCAAATTTCCAAATTAAACACAATGTTTGAAAACTGAGGGGAGGGAAACATGCTGTAGCAGACTCAAATAAAGACCAATGTTAAATATTACTTAATGTTTTCTTTTATTTAAAAGATCATTCACAAAATACCATATCCATAAATTTATTTTGTTATGAAGCAGAATGTGTTAAGTGTTTGAATTCTTTTCTTTTCCTTTTTTTTTTTTCATTTTTACATTTAAAAGTCAACTGTTTTGACTAGAGGTGAGATTTTATATGGGAATTTGTTCTTAAAAATCTTTTCCACATTGAAGATGTAAATAGGTCAATTATTGGTTTGGAATACAACCACACAAATGCATGTCTGTCTTAAATTAAGTATTAGTGTTAGACAAATGGTTCTTATCTCAGAAGCAGATTAAGTGACAGGCAGCAGAAGGAAGGAAAGAGTAGTTCTGTAAATTGCTGGGACTCTGACATTAGAAGTAACTTTGGGGAAGAAATTCACTACTAGCAGGGATGCTGGCAGTGAAGCAGCCATGCTTCCACACTCCTCTGGCAAGTACTCTGGGGTGCTGGCTGGCTGATCCGAGGGGCCCGAGTTCCTCAGGCACTGGACACAGCCAGACTTCACGCTGCAGATCCAGGTTTTGTTTTCAAACATCAATGATCTCTTTCCTTTTGCTCCAGCTTCCCCTCCCTCCTCCCACACAACACTGGCAAGAAGCACTTCAAGTAGAGAGAGATGCAGCAATTAGAGATCCTTTTTACCCAGACTTCTACACGAAGAGAATCTACAGCGGAACGATTTCTAATCTGCCCATTTTCAGGGTATTCTGAAAGCTGAGGTCTTAAAACTGTACACCACCGGGCAAAGAAATACAGGGGATCATGGCGATTACATACTGCATGGCAAAGTATACACTCCTTAAACAAAAATAAAAAAGTCAATTTTATTTGTAGAAATTTCGCTTAAAAATTTAGCAAACATGTAAAACCCAAAAAAGTAAGCAGAAAGAGCCAGTGAGCAGTTGTGCTCAAACAGGCACATTTTTGCAGCACTAACCTTGAGCTCAGAGCCGTAGCATCACACCATTTTGAAATCAACAGACAGCCACCAGCGAGAGTCTGCTGGCAGATGCTTTATCCACACAGATTCCACCATCTCTTCACCAGGCTTCTTGGCAGCCCGTTTTATTTGCATCTATTAAATTCATACTTCCTGGTAACCTGTGTGAGGGCAGCTGTCCCCCTTAGTTTCGCAAGGGGCCCTGCTGCATACAGGAACTCTATCACCAATTGTCAGAAATGGTATTTCACTACTTGGTTAGAACTGCAAATTCACTGCTCAACTCATCTGGACTCTCCAGTTTTCCTCTTCAGAGCCACAGCAATACAGAACGAGACATGCAGGTCAGAAGAGGAGCACTGAGGAAGTAAAACGAAACAATACAGGGAAATAACTAAGTCTAACCTGTGCTTCTAAAGTAAAACAAACCCAGAAAAGAAGAAGTGAAGCAGCACCTTTGTCCAGAGACCTCCACCCTCGTGGAAGCAGCTACACTGCCTTATCCACTGGCAACTGTGCTGCTTGGAAGGAAACAGAAGAGGGAAACTCAGCACGAAGCAGGCACTAGATACAGCAAAGCCAAGAACGTACTAAAAACCACTTGTTAACAGCTGACATGCATTCACAAGCTCTGTATTTTCGGTTTCAAAGAGGACAAATACCAGATGGCAGGAATGGTAAACTGCAGGGTTGACATTCCAGCAGAGCTAGTCACTCTGTACTGTCTTGCTTTTTTCCCGCCTCCCCATTCCCTCTCAACCCCAAACTCAGTCGTGCTCTTTTACTACTTCCTCTCGGGGCTTGGCTCCACCGAAGATAGCAGAGTTTGGGTTGGCTACTTGATTGAGGGGAGTAGCAACTGTTCGAGGTTTGAGCTGAAGCCGGGGTCGCTGTGCTCTTTCCTCTGAAAGAAAAAACATCAAGGTTTTAAGATCTGTCTGTCAAGGGTCGTGGCTTTAACCTGACAAAGAAAGCACGAGTCTCCTTCATGAAGGAAGGCTGAATTACAGAAGACAGTTTACCTTCTGTTGGCTCTCTGAAGTCCATGGAAGATCCACGAAGGGGAGGCCCATCTCTGAAGCGACCAGTGCCACCACTTCCCATTGAGGCACCTGGTGGTCGCCGGTCTCCAGGGCGGGTTCCTCTACCCCGGCCTCCCAAGAAGTCATCATCTTTGAATCCTGAAGACGGAAGACAGTGAATTTAAAGAGCTCATTTTGCAATGCTTTTAATCTAGATTTTTATCTGGATGGCTGGAAACCCTTGCAAGTCACTGCTGTCAGTCCAAGATGATGCACTGAAAGCCTTTGTCTGAGGACAGATTGCTTCACAGATCTCTAACATGTTCTAGAAGAGTCACGCAGATTCCATCTGAAACAAGGATCCTATGCCAAGTTCAGAAACTGCTTTATCCACCTAGAGGCTTATTGGACTGTTGGAAAGCGGGTCATCAAGTGAGCTTAAAATATGAGCTTCAGCTGCAACATCAGATTGTTAACACCATCAGCTGAATTCAGAGACAACACCAGAAGTACTCAGAGTACTTCTGCAGCCAGATCACACTGGCTCCAGCCTTAGCATGAAATCTGCAGGAGCAGAGCAAACGGGAAAACAGCTAGGGAGTAGTGAAATATACAGTCCTTGTAAAACAGAGGCTTTGAAAAACAGAAGCAAAACCCCAAGGCTTTTAGTTTTACTATAAACTGACCAGGCATTTACTAGACTAATTGAAGAGCTGGGAAAAAACCCCAAACAATTCAGACTAAGTATGAAACTGGCTGCATTTCTTCAGTTTATGTATCAAAAAAATCAAGAACTGCCTGTCACTGACCAGAGCTCCAGACTGAACCAATGACTATCCTAGAGTATGTCACCAAGCCCCCAGCATCTGCATTCAATGGAGAGGATACTTCAGGCTAACTGCACACCTAAGGGGAATATCCTCCATTTTTCAGAGCTGCCTGGAAGAGAAAGTTGTTTTGACCCCATCTGAGATTTTCCTTTGCACTTCAGTATTTGGCAGAGTTGCAGAACTGCCCCTTACTTACTTCCGTGCCAAACAACCATCTTTAAAGGCTTGATCCAGAGCAGGGCTGTACAGCCTGAGAAGGAAAGCTCCTGTAGCAACTAAGACTTAAACGCTAAACTTTTGGCTCACAGATCGCTCATCCAGCACAAGCTGAAACGCATCCACACTTGCAGAAGCTGCCAAAGGAGGGGTAAAGCAGCAGCACCAGAACGCTTAGCTACGCTTAGGCAGGTTGAGCACAGCGCTGTAGCAAGCTTCCTCTCCAGCACCATGCTTCAGTTCCACGCTGGTGGCAAGGGCACACTTTGTAATCGCTCCTTCTGCTTTGTCCATGCCACTCACAGAGACCAGACGTTGCAAAGTTGCACTTGCCAACAACTCCCCATCAGAAAATGGACCAAACCCATGGTTTCAGAGGACAAAAGCGATTGTGTTAATGTCACCCTGGATTCCAATAGCTAGAAACTGACTGGAAGTCAAGAGCAAACCCGGTGGCTCCATCACTACCTTCCACTCAGCAAGCTCAGTCATCTGCTGCAACTTGTATTACTGTAACAGGTCTAAAGGTTTAGGAACTTTTTGCATTTTAGAAGTGCTTTGGAACACGAACATCTTTGGAGAAGTCAGTTGCTTCAGGGATACCCATATAATGTCAGATCTCCTTAAGAAGGTGAAAGCCTCTGCTCTGAAAGAATACAGTATCAGCTTTTCCACATGATCTGTCTGTTTCTGCTACTATTCAGAAATGTACTTGGCCGCATGTTTGAGAAATGATTAAAACCTGGACACCGTAGGCTACATTTGAACAAGTATTCTGTCATTTAGGATTGCCTCATAAAATTTACAATCAAGACTCTTTCTTCTGTCATAAGGCAACAGAAGAGTCCCCCTGAAGAACCTCACTGCAGCTGTAGGATGTCCAAAGTTGGCAGATGGTAGACTCGGTCAAAACAGTAATGGGGACAAGTGTAGCTGATATGAAAATGAGAACAGTTCCGTGCCTTTTAGGCTGCCTATCTGTATAAGTGTTAATACTGATACCAGAATTGAAGTCATCTCTGGGATCCCATCCACCTCCTCTGGATTCTCGGGAACCTCCTCCCATTCCTAGGAAAAAAGCCACAATTGTGTTCAGGTCTGAAGCTGTGGGAAAGACTGATCAAGGGGATACCAAATCAAAGTTTCAGCCCTTCAACATCCAAAGTCATGCTGCTGGAAAATCCTTTTGTTTCGGTACTACCAAGTTCCATTGCACAGGAACAAGGTCAGTTTAAGTTAACCAAGAATAAGGGGTCAGAAAAGTTTCTCCAATACACATTCAATGGAAACCTTCAGTGAGTCTAGTTCCATTAAGCTTCAACCACAGCCAAGCCTGCTTTTACACTGGAACAGGAGATAGTACAAAGTACATACTTGTCCATTTGTGCTTGCTTACTTCTCTTACATCATTATAAAATAGTAGCAGATCAGACTGTTGGGCTTATGATTGTCCTCTGCAAGACACTGCACAGCACTTGGGGTATTGGTCTCACTTCCTGGGCTAGGAGTGACAACACATTCAGCTTCTGGACACAAAGCACATCTATATTCCAGATGCTTCAGGAGCAGCAGCAGCTAGGTTAAAAATGGGTATATACGCATCAAACTACTTCTTAATACCATTTTCATGTTTACTTGCACGGCTTGTCTCAGCATTAGTTAGCACCAGAAGTCATAACCACAACCATTATATTTAAGAAGCTATTTAGAAAAATGGAAGTCACCTCTGTCATCAGGCCCGCAACCTTTTCTGAAGCCAAAGCCACCTTTATCCTGTTTTCTGCCTTCTGCTATGTCCACTCGGAGTGATCGGTCACCCAAAAGCTGTTAAATAAAAGGGAGAATCTCTTCAGAGTGTATCATGAGGGCTGCCAAGGAGTTTGAGACTTGTGCTTAGCTTTTTATTTCACAAGTTAATTACAAGTATACTTACTGCACCATCATATGTAAGAGCTTCCTTGAGTGACTCCACCTCATCGAACTCCACGTAACAAAATCCTGTAAGAAGAACCTCACAAGTTAATACCAGCACTTTAAAAAGGCCTTTGTAAGCAGCTACTCTTCCTGCATAGCTCTAATAGCCTCCCTTCTCTTTCAAACATGAATATATGATGTAAGTACAAGATGACCACACCTCGGGAACCAAACCTCATTAATGAGCACATTTACCTATGCCTGTTAACGATGGGGACAAATCCTGAAACAGAACTCTGTATGGGCACTACACAAATGCCAAGAGCCTGATTAGTTCCCTTTACACAGGATTCCCATTACAGAGCAGATTTGATCTATGCCTTTAGACAGCTACTTAGCTGAATATTGACAACCAGTTACCAGTACTTTTAAGCAAGCAGCAGAAGGATCTGCTTGGCCAGCAGTCTGATTTTGTGTCATCACATCATCTAGTGAATTTATTCCTTGTTTAAGACCCTCTTATCAGAGTTAAGCCTCCCCCCCCCCCAAGAAGTAACTTACTTACAAATACATTTCCTTTTCACTGGCCAATTCAATGGAAATCAGATCTGCATCCTCCAAAACAACCATCTGAATGGCTTATCTAACTGCTTTTTCTCCCCATCTACTAAAAAAAGATGGAGCTGAAGCAATGGGAGTCTTCTGAACTAAAGAAAGATTGTGCAAGTACTCAACACTTAAGATCATAGTCAGATACTTCAGCTTTGTTAGAATTCATACAAGACCAACAAGGTTTGAGAAAGTCCTTTTATGGCAGGGCAAATACTGACTCTTGTCACTCGGGTCAGTCCGTATCTTAAGATGATGGCAGTAACAGTGAATCTCATTCAAACGAGATGTTTATTTGTTAGTGGATGAGAAACCTGCATAAGCCGACATGAAGAATGCACAGAGATCAACAAGCTAACTGCGCTTCAGAGGAGACAAATTCCCTACCTCATTTTCTCCTCCCAGTCAGCCTTCTACAACTAAAAAACTCTGAACACGCACCTTTAAATTTGTCTGTTTCCTTGTCTCTGACTAGTCGTACACTCCTTACACTGAGATCCTTGAAGATGGCATCTATGTCTCCTTGAACAGTGTTGAAGGGTAGATTGCCCACATACGCTGTGAAAGGGGGTTCTGTCGGCAGCTCTTTCTGTTTGCGGGAACCAAGGCCACCACCACGAGACCTGTGGGAAAAAACAGCACAGCATCTCCGGAACCTGTCCCCCAGTAACACAGCATGTAGCGCTGCTCAGGTGCTCTCTGACTTTTTGGAAGTGGATTTTTTCCACAACTTCGGTTAGTTTTTCTATCCCTTTGCCTGTACCTGGCCCCTGCCAACCCCCCCCCTTGGCCAATTCCTTTCTAGATTACCTGACACAGTACTTTAGCAGGAAAACAAACCAACAACCTGTTTAAACACATTACAGGCAAACTCAGTAACAAAGCGATGAAGGAACTTCTCATCCTGCAATCCGTTACAGAAAGCAATGTAAGGTTATCTCTACTGTCCCCTACTCAAAAACGTTGCTGCTTAAAAAACACACCCTAGAACAGATTTTAAGATTAATTTGTAGCAGCATGGCACAGGCTCGTCAGCTTATCCTGAAATTAAGATGGATCCAATGCTTTTAAATAAATAGTATACTATCAACATTCACTCCACAGTGATCTAAATTATTTCAGCAGCGTTTAGCCTAATAGAAACAGCTTCCCCTCACTCTGAAGTTACTGCTGTAACTGTGAGGTATCTGGACTGGAATGCTTTGACTTGAACACATAATAAAAAACTTGGTTGAGCAAGGTGTGCTAAGGCAGAGAAACCAATTTCAGTGCTATTTGGATGTTTACTTCTTCCTTTATGTCTCACAAATTACAGACTGAGGTAAACTAAGCTGTCTTTTCCTATCTTTTCCCTCAGCTTCACTTAAGGCTATTGGCATTGGTTGCTGAAAAACTAAATTCTTTACTGTATTAAAGTAACACGTCTGTGTGTTAGTCTCTTGTAGAGCCTAACCTTCTAAAGCTAACTTTGATCTCCTCTACAGGGAGAAGATTTGTACTGTGGGCACCAGGCAGCCCTAAGTCACAGCTCCTGGACTTCTGGACTACAGGATGCCACTGTCACTGGTTCCAGTGCCGTTTGCTCCACCTAAGAAGTCTCTGGCTTTTACCTGAGGTGCCTACCTACTACCCTGCCCACCTTCTCTTCAACACCTTACCTTCACTGGGCTCGGTTCAAAAGAACCCTTTCCCAGAGGCTCACTGTGCACTCAAAAGCACAGTGCAACGCAAACTGTACCAAACCAGGGTTTGCAAGCACGACACGGACTAATCAGATTCCTGCAGAGTCTTACCTAAAATACAGAAGGTCAAATAATTTTATTATTTCCTTTTATTCTGGCTGGTTGCATGCAGCCAGAAAATCCATTAGGTGAGCAACGTACTTGTCTGCTTTTTTTTTTCCATTCCAGAATAAATATTTTATCACTAATGAATCAGGTAATGCAGAAATTTTAAATAAGATTCCTTAACTCTTTCTAGGTAAGCCTGTCATCTGTGCCTTTTTATGGTAGCTCCATGCAGGAGTCATTTGTCATCAGCGTGCCGCTAGATGTACTTGATTCACAACCTACACATCTTTAATTAGTGTCCACCCAGGTTTGTATTTTAGCATTTTTGACAATATCCCTCACATGCCTTTGTCTCATTAACAAGTCAGAGTCAAAAACACACTGGAGAACTAAAGCTGCTATAGTTGGGTGCTGGGTATGTACAGCGGAATTGACTTTAGTCATAAGACTTAAGTTTTAAGGAGGAAGTCCAAGAAAGCAGAGTTGCTTTTCTAAAGAAGTTCATAATATGTAGAATCAGTTCCATGCCTTTGTCCTTAATTCTTATCTATGACATTATAAACAGCTATTAAAATAACACAATTTAATTTGCAGCCCCCCCCCCCAATCTTAACTTTCACATTCTATAGGAACATCAGAATTGCTTGGGCTGAGTTTAAAAGGAGCATTCCCTCCTTCTGCACATTCTCACCATGTTCCCTGGACTACCAGTCACCTGATTCAGTGAGCTGATCCACCTAAAAACTCGTCCTGAAGTCAAATTCTCAGCCAGATCAACAAGGTGATCTGGACAGCTGCAAAGAGCCCTCGTGCCAACACGGGAAAGAGAACAAAAGCAAGGGCTCAAACTACAGCTTTCAACAGCAACCTCCATCAGATCGATTTGAGCTGCTTCTGAAACCACACCCTCAAGTTTGCAATCCCCAAAAGAATTTTTTGTGCTACGGACAAATCTTGCTTCTACCATAGCACAGCAGGACTTCACGTGTGGAAATCCATGCCCTACTGTGCAACCCCTACTGATACTGAATCAGAAAAATGAAGTATCCTTTTTTGAATTTGATCCACTACGGCCTCAAATATGTAACTATGTATTTGGTATTTTAGTCTCCATTTGAAGAACAGGAATGGCCAATAACTAGGTTCCAAACTCAGTTTCCTACAAAATCCAGGTATAGCAACAGGAAAAGAAACTGTTTCTACACTTCCTCACATTTTTTCAACACTGAAGTAATAATAATAAAGAAAAGACAAGGCTGACTTCAGTAGCCAAACAATGAGATTGAAAGAAGATGCTTTCATTTGTAACAAAATAGAATAAAAGTCAACTATAATTAAAAACATATCTGAACTAAGTGAACTGGGTCACACCAGTCTTAGATGAATATCTGCATTTCCCACTCAGTGTAGCTTTTGCTCAGACACAATTAGGTAATAATTATGTCACCTTAATGTGGGAATTGGAAACAACCATCCATCTGATTTCTCTTCCAGAAAACCAAAGCAGAATGCTAAAGAGGAAAGCTGGGTTCTAGCTAACGTAGATGCAAACATCCCTGTAAATAGACTCATTTTTTGGAGGACTAAGTTAATTGTAAGGCCATATTGGTGTGAAAGAATTAAGTTAAACTATCATTTTGAACCTACTCTTTTTGAAAGTTTAGTTATTCTTTCCAGAAAACAAGACCTGTCCAAAGTTCAAAACAAGGAATATTCTGAAAGCTAGTGTCTGAGTGTAACAGCCTCTCACCAAGGACCAAACCAACTGCTCAGTATTTCTCCTTTGCACAGCACAGAGACCACGGCCTAACCGGATCCCAACGTTAGTGCTGTACTGGAGGCAGCACGAGGCTCAGTGGGATGCAAGTCTTGCTGAGGGTCTTACAGGACCACACCTCTAAATGCACACCCGGTTTGTTCAAGCAACCCAGTACCTCTCCACAGTCAGCACTGGACATCTTCCACAAAACACCCAAGCCTAAAAATTAGGAGACATTTATTAACGCTGAATGGGTCAGACACAGGGCCCAAAACGCCAGGAGGAGACAGACAAGCTGCCTGTTGTCACTCACTGGCACAGCACTGCAGCAGATGAATCTTAACCTGGAGTACGGTGCCCAGCATGAGCCCAGCGCTAAAAGCCACACCTAAACAAACACCCTGCCAGCAGGTCAGCAGCAATACTCTGTCTCCTTCAACTCTGAGAAGTTCTACAGATGTTCAGTTTTAACGAGGCCTCAGCATGCATAATTACAGGTTCTGGCTCCAAAACACTTACCCAAAAGCTTTTACAGTAGGCCTTCTGTTGTTAATGTCAGCAGCACGTTCTTCATCTGGAATAAAGTGACTTTTCCATATCATAGTATTATGCTTCTTAATTGATGCACTGCCAGACATCTCGGGTGTAGCAAAACCCCCTGTCTCACCACACCACAGTCATGTTCTGCTGCTCTTCCACCACAGTTTTGAAGAGTATGAGAAAGAGGTAGATATCTCACACGTTGGAACTAGCTGGGGACTATTGTTTTCTCTGTCACACTTAAATCCTATGCCCAGCCTCCATACAGACCAAAGGTTACGCAAAATGCAGCTTCCACAACAACTATTATAACTCAACTGAGTTTACACTATTCTTACAGTCCTAGAGCACCTAAAGAATGAGCAGGAGTCACTTTAAGTTAACAGGGGATTCTTTAATCAGAATCTTCAAGAAGAGTCATGTTTTCACTCCTCTACACATATTACAGGCCTTTATGCAAAGCACGGAGACCTGTTAAGGTCTGAAATTGCAAATTAGCTGTTAGTAACTTACTAGTAATAAATCAGATGCAAGTACAAGTGGCACTCTGGTATTAATAGCATCTGAGGCTTGAAACTGCAGCTAATTCAGAGTAAGAACATTTTCTCGTCTGCAAAGGCATCAGCGGGATGTTCACCAAAACAAGTATCCATATCTTGCCTGAGAGAAAGTTTAAGTACTTTGTTAAAGAAATCAGAATATGAAAGTAACATTTTAACTCACACTTCATTACTTCATAGAATGGGCCTCCATTGCCTAGTACACAGCACAGTAACATCTGAATTCATTACCAGTGTCAGGTGCCACTTCAGGCTGCTGTCAGGATGATCTGTTACAGAATTTCAAAAAAGTAACAGAATTGCAAGTGGCTACATCATCCCTTTGCTCTGGGACATCTCTTCTTTAGACACAAAGGATACCTATGCACGAAAATGAGCTTACAAAGCTGAAGGGTCAGAGTGTTTCCAAAGACAAGAAAACTTACTCCGGTTGTAACAACCTTAGCAGTAGCTCCTCCCTGCTGCCTAAACAGTCTGAAACGAAACTGATTCATTCCTCTAAGAATAGGAAAGGACAAAACCACTGTTGATCAGGAAACTTATCTTGGAAGATTAGATTACAATATAGCACACTTGGTAAGATTTGTTCACAAAGTCAGTTTATTTCATAGTTCTACACCTACTGTTCTATTTTAGTGCACACAGAAACTTATATGGCACCAACCTTCGAAAAAACCCAATTGTTAATTGCATCTTCCTAACCTGATTTAGGACAAACCTCGTAACTGCTGGTTACTGTTTCTGTAGTTCCTTTCCTATACGCACTCTCCAGCAAAGAAACGGAGACCAGACAAGCCCCGTCCCCGAGGATCAGAGATTTGGAGCCAGCACCCGAAGCCCCGGGTAACGCAGGACGGCGGCTCGCAGCCCTCCCCGACCGGCGGCACCACAAAGCCCTCCCATTTCCTCCCCGCTGCAGGCACCACCACGCTGCCCGCTCCCGGGGACGCCGCAGTAGCTTCCCCCGCCGCCAGGCACCTCGCCGTGTGGAGCTCGTCCCGCCACAA